ACGTCGAGGAAAGAAATCTTATTTCACAACTTAAGGTAAGTATCTGTCTATATTTCTGAGATGAAGTATTATGTACACTATTTACATTATTCGGACTATTGTCCTCATCTTTGTCGCCATATTTATTACAACGTTTCGACCCTTCAGTATCTGTCTATATTTCTGAGATGAGGTATTATGTACACTATTTACATTATTCAGACTATTGTACTCATCTTTGTCGCCATATTTATTACAACGTTTCGGCCGTTGTACGCTCCGGCATTCTTCAGGTGGTTGGAATGTCGAACTGAACCATTTATTTCGCTCACTGGAGTAGACTGTTCTAGTTCCACGTGCCATGTATTTTTAATGGATGTCAGTTATCAGTTATTTCTTGTTAATTCCCCTCTGAACGTTCTCCACTCTCTTAACCACGTATTGAACTCCACTCTGGTTCCTGTCAGTGGATCTAACCAACGCCTTTATCCACTGTGCCATGTGTCCTTGAGGAGACATGGTGAAAATATCTAGAAATTTGAGTAAAAGAAAAATGAATCATCTATGAAACCCCTTTCTGATTTCCATCATTATGGCTGATGCTAACCTCCAGGAGTGACTCATTGCGCCTTCTCGTCTGACATTAAGTGGAAAGACTATATTGAATCCATTGCTAGGTCAGCTGCTAAGAAAGTTGGTTCACTGTGTCGTCCTAGACAATTTTCTCTCAAGAATCTATCTTACATATCTATAAGTCTACCATTCGTCCATTCTTAGAATATTTCTGCCATATATCTAAAAATACTTTATAAAATCCAAAGAAGAATCAGCCATATAATTGGAATCAACCTGGTTATTAACTATTATTAAATATTAACTGAAAAGCAAGAAGCCGAAATTTTGGTTCCACAAGCAGTGCGAGTGAAGATATTGTTAGCATAGAACTTATGGTTACATTTCGTCATTTCAACTGAAAAATCAAGAGACCTTGGTGTTTATTCGTAAAGTCTAGGTACTAAAGAGGAACGCTCATCAGTCCATTTACCAAGAAAATAATTATAAAAAAGTTACAGGGAATCTATATTACGGTGGTGGGAAAGTGATTTACATCTGGCGCTGCTAAATATACGAATGAACGTACCATTCAGATTTGTTTTGCCAGTGATTATCTTAATGTTAAAATTCTTCTCCCATATAAAAGGTCCGTAATTTCTCATGTATAATACGCCTTCATCCATAATACGCACCCCTAAAATCGTGCTAAAAGTGTGAGAAAATGCTTATACTCACGCATAATACGCACCCCTTGTTTGATAATCAAACCCTATAAATTGTAACTCAACAATTTCATTACGGCCAGTGTTTCCTGCTCTTATTAAAACATGATTTTAAACACCGAATAACATTATTCTAATTTAGTTTTATGATAATTCTTATTTTATTTTACATTTGTAAGTATTGTTAAGTACATATGATTAGATTTGACATCAATATGGGGTCGCAATCGCCAAATGTTAGTGTCAAATTATCGTATGTCTCTGATGAGTAGACATTTTGCAACTGAAATCGACCTATGAAACGGCAATTTTTAAAGGATTTTTTGCAGCTATGATTAATACGCACCCCTAATTTTGCTTTTTATTTTTTTTTAGAAAAACTGCGTATTATACATGGGGAATTACAGTATACCATTTTGTGTGTGTGGTGGGGGGTGTTAAGAACAACTCCAAATATAGAAAATCGTCCAGTTAATTTAGTGTATCACTTTTGAATGCTATAAGATCTGCTTAATTAAAAGACATGGATTCTGATTTAATGTCGTTTATATGGAGTCCAACGTGTACTGCAGCAGATTCGAATCTGATAAAAGTAGCTGTGCTTGTTTAAGTGTGTTGAGTACAAAAGCTAGATTATTTACAAAATCTGTCTTCAAAAGCTTACGGCCATATCATGTTGAAATGGGAATACCATTTGCTGCAAGCTTGGATGTGTGGGTGGTGCAATATATAATGGCTCGAAAATTTTAATCCAATTTTAATTTGAGCTGAGTTTCAATTCTAGTTGGGTTCGTTATATTCACTTACGAGCAAATACCCTTGGAAAAGGCATGAACCCATCTCTTCCCTCGCCATCGAAAGGCCCATTAGTAAGACTAAAGCATAGTTATTTAAAAAAAGTTCTTACTATCTAGCAAATATTTTCTGACTTTATATAATCTGCAAGGGGTTGATAGGCCGTAAAAACGAATCAGTCAATCAAAAAGGTGATTTCAGATCAACGACTATGTCTTGTTTCTTTTAAAATAAATTCTATATCTTTCTCATCAAATTGCAATAAAATGCCCAAAAGCAACTCAAGGTAGACTGATTCCGAATTAGTCGATTTTAAGGGCGTAAAGACAAGAAGTGCTTGTTATGAGGATAGGTGGGGGTTAATCCTAGACATGAAGAGGTTAAGAGGTTAGAGGTGGGATAAGTATCCACACGCGAGTCTGTTTCCCAAAATAACATTTCTAAGGAAA